TGTGGTACAGAACAATCTTTCTCATGTGGGCATGCTTGTTCTTGGGACTGCCTCATAAAGCCGAAATCAATCTTGCAAGCCTGAAAGTACATTTCTTCTCCCATCATCTTTATGGCTCAAAAATCTAGAGAGGGTTCCTTCTGAGGTATTTCCAATGTCCCCATTCCTGCTGTGGGATCAGCTGCCTCTTATCTGCCCATTGTCCAGTCTGCAGTTCTTCCTTCTGTCCCCCAAGGTCATTCTCACATACCAATATACACACTTTGCTGGGAAGCCTCCTTAGATGACAAAATGGATGCCAACAATGCTCTTTGACTTGACTAATTCATCCTGAAAGGGATGAAGGATAAACTCCTGAGCATACATGGATGAAAAATGAAATGTTTTCAAGGAAAAAGCAAAAAAGTCAAGTTGCCATTTGAAAAGCACCTTGGGGATAAGCAAACAACAATGTTTTGTTTTGTTTTGTTTTATTTCAATAATCATCCCAGAATTCTGGATGTAGAGCAGTTTAAGTAGACTGGGAAACTTCCTCTTAAATCTAAGTCCTCCAAGAGTCATCCTGTGACATCAGAAGGGTGCAGCAGAGAGCCAAACACCATTCAGCTGATGACATTTGCATAAAAAGTGGAAAATTTGCTTCCACGGATTCAATATAAGACATTTGGAAAGAAAGAGAAGCATGAGAAGCCAACAGTGTCCACATCCCTCTTACAATGCTGTGGGCCTACTCTGTTATACTCCTGGGATGGCTCTTCTCAGGTGAGTCCAGACCGCTGGTTGAAGGTCTTCAAAGGAGGCAGAAGATGCTTGTCTGTTCCATCAAGATCCATCCGGAAGATACACTAACATACTTCCCCATTTTTGTTTTGTTTCAGGTTTGGAGTCCCAGATGATATTAACTCAACCATCCTCCACGTCTGCATCTCTAGGATTAGCATTTAGCATCCCTTGCAGAATGAACAGTAGCTACACTGTATAATAGACCTAGAATAAATAAAGTAGTTACTTTGAACTCTACACCTAAAACATATGAAGAACGGCTGCAGGACTTGGGTTTGGCTAGTCTAAAGAAAAGAAGAAATAGGGGTGACATGATAATAGGGTTCCAGTATCTGAGAGGCTGCCACAGGGCAGAAGAGGGTCACATTATTCTCCAAAGCACTTACAGTGCTTACAATTTCTTGCCAGGAGTAATTATTGCCAGGATATTTTTCCAAATGATATGGGTAACTGTGAAATGCTCCAGCCTAGGTTTTGCTTGGTGGGTGTTGAATGAAAGCTGTCTGTCCAGATGTTTTCATGTTCTCCTCCCAAATTTCTTGGAGCTTAGTCGAGTGTCTGAGTTCTCAAATATTTCAGCTCTTATTCAATTCAAGCATCTCTGCTCCAATTTCTTCGGAGTTAGTGATGGGTAGCAGATACAATTTAGAAGACCCTTCAGAGACACAATCTGTCTAGCAGGTGCAAGTGGATTTCTTGTGGTGGTTCCACCAGCCAGAGATGGAAGTTAAAGGTGCAAGTAATTTGTATGAAGGAACGGGTTTTTTGGCCTCTGGGGACTTAAGAGCAACTGGATTGACCCCAAGAGAAGATCCTTTTTCTTCGAGAAGATGAATGTATCAAATCTCCCCCGAACAAGCATCATGTTCTTTCTATCCATATTCCTTGCCACCATTGGTGAGCTACCTTGAGTTGGTAGAAGAGAGAAGCTGTGTCTTCTCCAAAATGGTGGCCAAGGCTTCTTCATAATCCCTTAAATAAGCATTTCTTTGCTGTGTTTCCTTGCAGATCTCAGCCTTCAGCAGCTGCAAAGCCTGAAGGACACAGAATCTGTGTCTCTTGGTGGGACGGTCATCCTATCTTGCAGATACTCTACTGAAATCATCAATGACAACAATTACCCTTGGTGGGCCCAGCAACATCCAGGCAAACCACCCCGACTCTTGGTTTACCAGACCAGTGTCAACCTTCTAATGTTCCAGCCCGCTTCTCTGGGTCCAAGTCAGGGAATATGATGTTGCTGACCATAACAGGAGCCTTGGCTGAAGATGAAGCCATGTATTACTGCTGTTTAAATCCAGGGGGCTCATAACACACTCATTCAGTGCAATGGGAAAGAAAGGCAAAAACTCTTTCCTTGCTCTCTTCAGACAACAATAATAGTTGAATTGTCTCTGAAGCTTCCTGTTCATATTGTGGTCAGTCTGAAGATGAAGGTTCATTTTGACTAGAGCAGTGTTTTTCAAACTTAGAACATAGAATCACAGGGCTGGAAAGGACTTTGAAGGTCTTCTAATCCATCCCCCTACTCAAGGCAGGAGCCCTTATAATATCCTGGTCAAATGGAGGAGGAGGAGGAGGAGGAGGAGGAGGAGGAGGAGGAGGAGGAGGAGGAGGGGAGGAGGAGGAGGAGGAGGAGGAGGAGGAGGAGGAGGAGTAGGTACTTTAATGGCCAGTAGGATCTGCTCTTGTTCTTCCTACCAAAACATCATCAACAATAACAACCACTCCTTAGTTTCTTGCACTTAATTCTCAAAGCATACATTTCTGGCATATGATCGTAGGGAAATAGAGAAAACAAATGATTATCCTTAGAGGAAGTAGATTAAGACAAGGTATTTAAAAAAAAGAATCAGTGTAAACATCAGGGAGGATTTTTATCCACTCTTTGAATGGCATATTTGGAAATTAAGTTGGATTCTCTGGGTTGAAATCCACCAACTCCAAGCAGGAGGACAATGATTTATATATGAACACTGAGGATAAGAGGCTGATGCCTGGAATGGATGTTCATCACCCTGATAGAGTTTATTCCATGCACTGCCATTTTGCACAACGTTTACAGTTCCTTGCCTTTGGCCATCCAAATCAGAGTTACTAGACTTGTACTCCAAAACATATGGAGGAATCTACGAATCCATCCCAAGCATCTTCTTGATGAGTTGACTTAGAACAGCTTGTCTGGAGACTAAGGAAATAGAGTCTACCCATTATCAGAAGATCTAACTATCCTACATTCCCAAAAAAATTAATCTGCTTTGGAAATATTTTGTGAGTCTCAACTGTGTTCATCCTTAATCATATCAAACATCTCTACCACCATCTCTTTGAAGCCAGCCTTGTGCAGAAGACAAAATGTACAAGACTCTTCCAACACAGAATCAATCAAACAGGTGCCAGAGTTTCTCTTCTGGTGGTTCCACCAGCCACAGACAGAAGTTAAAGCTGCAAATGATTTGCATGAAGGAACCGATGCTTTGGGCCTCTGGAGACTTAAGAGCAACTGGGTTGACCCCAAGAGGAGATCCTTTTCCTTAGAGAAGATGAACATATCAAATCTCCCCCGAATAAGCAGCATGTTCTTTCTGGTCATATTCCTTGCCACCATTGGTGAGCTGCCTTGAGTTGGTGGAAGAGAGAAGCTGTGTCTTCTCCAAAATGGTAGCCAAGGCTTCTTCATAGTCCCTTAAATAAGCGTTTCTTTGCTGTGTTTCCTTGCAGATCTCAGCCTTCAGCAGCTGCAAAGCCTGAAAGACGCAGAATCGGTGCCTCTTGGTGGGACGGTCACCCTATCTTGCAGATACACTCTGGGAGGCATTGCTAATGGCAATCATCCTTGGTGGGCCCAGCAACATCCAGGCAAACCACCTCGGCTCTTATTTTACAACACCAATATCAAGGTGTCTGACGTTCCAGCTCGGTTCTCTGCATCGAAATCAGGGAATGTGATGTCGCTGACCATAACAGGAGCCTCGGCAGAAGATGGAGCCATGTATTACTGCTGCTTGAACCCAGTGAGTTCATGGCACAGTCATTCAGTGCAATGGGGAAGGAAGGCAAAAACTCTCTCTTGCTTTGCTCTCTTCATGGGTCATTGCCAGTTGAATGGTCTCTCAAGCTTCCTGCTCATGTGGTAGTCAATCTGCAGATGAAATGGACATCTTGATTAGAGCAGTATTTTTCCAAACTCAGCAACTTTAAGGTGTGTGGATTTCAGCTCCTGGAATTCCCCCCATCATGTTGTCTGAAAGAAGAATACAAGACCCCTTCCTATTTTTCTTTCTGTTACAATTAACACACTTCTGAATGGAGCAGGCGAGCAGGTCTGGACTCCTCATAAGACTGTGGAATCCAGGATCTTCTGGATCTGGAGATTTTTCATCTTTGGTTCTGGATGGGTAGATCTTCCTCAAAGATCCCTAGCATGCAATTTGGGTGCCTTCCTGAACCCAGGCCTCCTGCTCAAAGAGCGGCAGGCAAATCTGGCTCAGAGGACCTTTGCATAGCTTCGTTCTGTATGCCAGTTGTGTCCACTCTTGGACTGGGAGATCCTGGTTATGTTCACTCATATCTCAGACACCTCATGACTGGATTACTGAATATGCTACATGGGGTTGACCTTGCAAACACCTTGAAAGTACCAGTGGCTACAGCATGCATTAGCATGGATAGTTAGGGGTGAACCTTGCCACATTCATAACCATGCATCTCTACTTCATGAGCTTGGTTACTAGTTGATTCTGGACAAAGGTCTTACCTATGAGATCTTTCATGTTACAAATCCATCTGTAATTACTTCTGTCCTCCAGTGATATCTGACAAATTGGTTGTTTTCTTGCACCTTAACCCTAACTCTTATTGCATCAGAACATGATTGATCGTATCCTCTATCCATTTCATCCTCAAGGTAACCCTGTTTGATAGGACAGGAAGAGGAACAAGGGCTATAATTGAAAGATCGCTCGACTAACTTGTTGGAAGAATGCACATTTCATCTTAGGATCCTCTGGTTCCACTTTATATTGTAAAAGGACCAGCTCACTTATTTTTTTCTAAGCTCAGAAATATCTCTTGTAGGCCAACAGGGTGCAGGCAAACACCTTCAGTTCCATATACAACGTGCCATACTTGTTCTTAAAATAAAAGCATATTTGCATACAGAGTTGCATTTTTCGCCCCTGGGGATTTAAGAGAGTCCTGGTGGGTTCCAGTTCAAGAGTCTTTCTGTCAGGAAGGCCACCCAGTTCTCCATCATGGCTTGGATTCTTTTTATCTTCATAGGCCTATCTTTTTTCAGTAAGAGAAACAGAATTGAGGGAATAGCCCTTTTGAGACTCTCTCTTAGGGAATCCAGTGCAGGCAAATAGTGGATCCCATCCTGCTGTGCAGCATAGTTTCATTTTAATATCTTCCTAATTCTGTGTTCTCTTTCAGGGTCCAGTATCCAGCAATTGCAGAGCTTGAAAGATTCAGATTTTGTAGCTCCAGGAGGGACAATCACCACATCCTGTAGATATGACAGTGGAACCATCACTGACAGCAATTACCCTGTGTGGGTCCAACAGAAGTCAGAGCAGGTTCCAAGGCTCTTAATACACAGCACCAGCACCAGACACACAGGCGTTCCAGCCCGTTTCTCTGGCTCCAGGTCAGGGAACACCATGTCCCTGACCATCACAGGGGCCTTAGTGGAAGACGAGGCTATGTATTACTGTGTTGTCTGGACTGGAAGCGGGCGCACAGTCTCTGATTCAGATAGAGAAGTGAGACAAAAACCTTACAGGATATGAGCAACTTTGAAATGAAATGGACTGCAGATGAAAACTTTCTGAACAAAGTCATTCTAGTTGTGAATATTCCTAAGCATGAAATAATTGCAGTGGAGGAGAGGATCCTAAAGAAAAGAGACAACCTCCACATTTGAAGAGGTGGTGGGTTTTTTTTGGGGGGGGGGAAGAAGAACAGATTTTCTTCCATTTCCCTCCCACTTCTCAAAATACCTGGTCAATTCTCCAAATCCAGGACATCTAAAAAAGGCCACTGTTGAGATAGGACATTTGATTGGCTATATCAGGGGTAGGCAACCTTGGCTCTTTTATGACTGGTGGACTTCAACTCCCAGAATTCCTGAGCCAACATGGCTCAGCTTGGAAACCTCTCCCTTTCCCCTCAGCATGGCTGGCTCAGGAATTCTGGGAGTTGAGTCCATGAGTCATAAAAGAGCCAAGGTTGCCTACCCCTGGGCTATATAAAAGAAGAGGCCTTTGAAGCATGTCCAGAGTGCAACTTTGCTGCTAAAGTCTACAAAATAGACATACAGTAGATATGGTGAGATGATAGAGAGATAACCCTTTGGAAGGATTGGCCATGATAATCATCATTATGAATATGAACAGCATTTTCTGGGGAACCCTAGAACGTTCTTCCAAAATGCCAGTACAAAATGCTTGGTGACCCTAAATATGATTGGTTATTTTTAGAACTTATAGATCAACCTGGTTGGTATCAATGGTCTATTGGAGTTAGGACTTTCTCAAATTTTCTGGGAAGTCATCAAAGGAATTACTTCGGAATCTTTGACAGGCCAAAGATGGTATTGATCACTGAATGATCACTGTGGTGAAGCCTCATCCGCAATCATATCTTTATTTGAGCATTATCACATGTGTCACATTGTTCTCTGATGATGAGGAGGAGGAGGGAGGGAGAAGGGTGAAGGGAAAGGTGGAAAAATAAAAAAGAGGAGGAGGAGGAGGAGGAGGAGGAGGAGGAAGAGGAGAATGAAGAGGAGAAGGAGAAGAGAGAAGGGAAAGAAAGAGGAGGGAGATATTAGGTACTTTAATGGCCTGTAAGGGCTGTTGTTGTTCTTCCTACTAAAATAATCATCACTAAGTTTCATGCACTTAATTCTCAAACCATACTGAACATTTCTGGCATATGAGAAAAGAAATAATTATCCTGAAAGGACATAGATTAAGAGAACTATACAAAGAGAACTTCCGGTGGTTCCAGCGATGACGAATGGCGGCGTTTTACAAAGCCGCCTGTTCCTGGTGCGTGTAAAAGCCACGGGACTTTGACAATCAGCTGTCCCGCGGCTTGAATCTCCTCCCTGGGAAAAAGGGAGGAGGAGAGCTCTCAGGTAGAGGTAAGAGCTCCCCTGGATTCCTGTTATTTTGGGGATCGGAGGGTAGAGCTCCCTCGGAGCCTGAGCAACTCCGCGTTCCAGGGAGACTTCATTCCGAAGTTTTTGGGATGAAGCAAGTTGCCGCTTCCACATCTGCTTTTTTTTCCAGCTGCTTGTGAGTATTTGAAAGCAGACGGAGCAGACCAGGAGAGACTGTGCTTAAGTTTGATGGTGCCTTTAACTTCAGCAAGTTTCCTCTTCCTTTTCTTTTGTTTTACAGAGTAAAACCTGGATACAGATTAACTCTTTAAATACAGAAGTAAGAATTTGGCTTTTATTCTTTCCTCTTTTTTTCTCTATTTTTTTTCTCTTTTTTTTAAGAACACTTAAAAGAACTGTGCCCTTTTTTTTTTTCAATAAGAATCTTTCTTCTTGGAACTTAAGAAAATGGCTTCAAAACGTCTGCCTCCCACCCCTAAGGTTCCTATTTCTTCTCCAATGCCTCAGCCTGCATCTCAGAAACCAAAATCACCTCCACCTTCTCCTCCTCCTGCTGCAATTTCTCTTAATGATTTACAAGATGCTTTAAAACAGCATGCCTTGGATATTAAGGAGGAGGTAAAAGATCTTATAATTGCAGAGAGGGCTAATACAGAAGAATTATTGGAGAAAAAGAATAAACAAGTAAGAGACCATATCCTTCTGGCCTTTCAGGGCCCTGCACATGGAAAGGATTGATGACCAGATGGAAAAGATTACTGAAAATGCATCAAGGATGGAATTTAGAATGCAGGAGGTAGAGAACAAGATAGAAATTACACAGGATGAACAAATCATTTCACAATATAGGGAGATGGAACACGCATTGCGTATCAGAGGCCTGAGGGAGAACCCTCAGGAAGACTTAAAGATGCTTATTGTGAAAGATATTGCTCCTAATATTGGTTGGCGGCCTGAAATAATTGAGAATGAGATAGAAAAAATTTTTAGAGTTAATTCACGGGTTGCTAGACAGAGAAATCTACCAAGAGATGTGGTTATTTATTTTTCTAGAAGATCTATCCGTAATGAAATTATACAGGCTTTTTACAAACAAAAGTTTCAAATTGCTGATCAAGACGTGATAATTTTAAAAGAGATACCTCCAAAAATTTTAAGAGCCAGAAAAGATTTTACTTTCTTGTCTGATGAGTTGAAACATCGTCAAATTCAGTTCAGATGGGAGATTCCAAGAGGAATAATAGTAAATTATGAAGGGATACGTCACAGATTAACTACTGTTTCCAAAGCAAGAGATTTTTATCAGTCTATCTTAAAAGCAAGATTGTCACCACCTCCACAAATAAGGATGACGGAAGAGTCTCTTATGGCAGGAGCCTCATCAATGATGGTTATGGAACAAGCTGCACCGAATTCTGACATAAAAGAGCAAAGGATGACACGAGCTGCCCATAAACGTAAAGAAAAAGAGCAGTTGCAGAAGAGTGGTGAAAGTTTGGTTGTTACAGAGCCTGTGGGAGGGGCAAGACCAAAAAGATCTTCGACAGCAGATCTGCAGGCCATGCTCCAGAGGCTCCAGGCCGGTGGAGATGGTCAGGTTCCTGACCTGGAATGTTAATGGCTTAAACGTGCCCCAGAAACGAAGAAAGATTTTCCATTATTTGAAACAACATAATAATGATTTGATATGTTTGCAGGAGACTCATATAACTTTAAAGGATTCTAAATTCTTGATGAATTCCCGTCTGGGCACACATTTTACTGCTCCAGCCCCTGGGAAAAAAGGGGGAGTGGTAATTTATGTGAAGAAAACTTTTTCAGCTAAACTAATTGAGGCTGATTCTGAAGGAAGATATCTTTTTGTGGAATTATTATTACAAGGCCGAAAGGTTCTTATTGTTGGACTATATGCTCCCAATCAACAACAGAAACAATTTTATAAGTTGCTGCATGGCAAGATATCTCAGTTGGATTATAAATCGGTAATTTTGATGGGTGACTGGAATGGGGTTTTAGACCCAACTATAGACAAAAGAAGTTCCTCTAAAACTTTTATTCAAACTAAATTACCTATGACTTTCTTTGATTTGAAGGAAGAATTGGAGCTTATTGATATTTGGCGAGAAAGGAATACAAGTGATAGAGACTTTACCTTTTATTCTGATAGACACCAGTCATTTTCAAGGATTGATTTTTTTTTGATTACTAGTGACTTCCTCCCTAGAGTGAGGAAGGTGAAAATTTTTCCTAGAACATTGTCAGATCATAGTCCGGTGTGGATGGAGTTATATTCGGAAGACGGGAATAGAAGATCCTGGAGATTGAATGAGAACTTATTTAATCGGGAGGAGTTCGTACAAAAGTGTAAAGAACATTTAAAGGACTTTTTTACTATAAATATGAATAAGGGAACATCGATGTCTATGGTGTGGGACGCTAGTAAAGCATATATGAGGGGAATTTTGATTCAATTGAATAAAGTTTTTAGGGAAAAAGGGTCACAAAGACGTAGAGAAATAGAAGAAGAGATCAAATCAAAAGAACAAGAGTTGGTTCTTAACCCTACTGATAATAATTTAAAGGTATCTATAAAGATGCTTAAGGAACAATTTAACATGTTGATGGCAGATCAGGTGGCTACCAATCTGTCGTATATGAGACATAATACTTTTTGCAATGTGAATAAGCCTGGGAGGTGGTTGGCTTATCAGTTACGAAAGAAACAGAAAGCTAGAATTATAGAGAAAGTAAAATATAAAGGTACTGAGGTTTTTCAGCAAGATTTGATTAAAAAAGCTTTTTGGACTTTTACACAAAATTATATTCAAGTGATAATATAAGGGGTTTGGATATAGATAAATATTTACAATCAGTACATTTTCCTAGACTTTCAGAGGAACAACAAAATGGGATGAATAGTTTAATTACTGTGGAGGAAATTGGCTTAGCTATTAAGCAGTTAAAGGTTGGAAAGTCTCCTGGAACAGATGGACTGACTTCTAGGTATTATAAGATTTTATCTGAAGAAATGATAGAGCCACTAAAGGAACTCTTTAATAGTATTTTGTTGGGTATGCAAGTTCCTCCTTCTTGGAAAAGAGCTTTTATATCACTGATTCCGAAGGAAGATCAGGATCTTACAGAGCCTAAGAATTATAGGCCAATTTCATTATTGAATGTTGATTATAAGATCTTTACAAAAATTTTGGCAAATAGATTAATGCAGGTTATGAAAGACTTGATTCATAGTGATCAAGCAGGATTTATAACAGGGAGATATATGAAACATAATGTTAGACAAATTATTAACTTAATTGAGTACTTGGATAAGAATAATCAGATTCCTGTGGCTTTTATCTTTTTGGACGCTGAAAAAGCTTTTGATCAATTGGACTGGCAATTTTTATTTTCTTTGGTAGAGAAAATGAATTTTGGGGATAATTTTTTACATGCACTTAAAGCTATATATCAGCAGCAATCTGCACAAATTGTTGTAAATGGGGGATTGACTGAGAATTTCAATATTCAAAAAGGGACAAGACAAGGATGTCCATTATCCCCATTGTTATTTGTTTTAACATTGGAAAGTTTATTGATTCAGATTCGGGAATCGAAGTTAGTTAAGGGTGTAAAGATAAGGAAGAATGAGTATAAATTGCGGGCATTTGCGGATGATTTGGTTTTAATTTTGGAACAGCCGAATCAGGCGATTGATGGTTTATTAGAACTTATAACACAGTATGGGAATGTTTCTGGTTTTAAAGTTAATAATTATAAGACTAAGATATTATCTAAGAATATGTCAGTTAAAGAAAGGGAAAGTTTGATTAAAGCCACAGGTTTTCAGATGGTAAAAAAGGTTAAATACTTGGGAGTATATCTAACTGCTTCAAATGGAAAATTGTACAAGAACAATTATGAACCACTATGGGCAAAAGTCCAAAAGGATTTAATAGATTGGAAAAAAATTGCAATTGTCATTGTTGGGGAGAATTTCAGCTGTAAAAATGAATGTTCTACCAAAGTTTCTTTTTTTGTTTCAGATGATACCTATTCTTAAAAAAGAGGCAAATTTGGAGGAATGGCAAAAGGGTATCAATAATTTTATATGGGCCGGGAAGAAACCAAGGGTTAAATTTAAGATATTACAGGATGCTCGAGAAAGAGGGGGACTTAAGGCACCCAATTTGAAATTATATTATGATGCAGCCGCCCTAACTTGGTTAAGTGATTGGCTTAATTTAACAAATATGGATATTCTTTTTTTGGAAGGTTGGGATTTAATATATGGTTGGCATGCATATTTAATTTTTAATAAGAAAGTTGATCGGACTTTTAAATCACATATTTTGAGGAATGCCTTACTTCGTGTTTGGAAGAAGTATTATTATAGATTAAATTATAAAATACCTATCTGGGGGATTCCCAGACATGCAATTGAGGGAACCTCTAAGGGGACAAATTTTGATAAAATCTCGTATAAAGAATTGTTAATTTGTCTGGTTCGAATTGGCATTTGAAATCCCTAGATGTATTAAGGCAGCAAAATATTCTACAGTCATGGTTTCAATATTTACAAATAATGGATAGATGGACTGTAGACAAGAAAGAGGGAATAACACTAGAAGATAGACAATTGGTTATTCAGATTAAAAACCAAGGTCCGGCTCATATAAAAAGAATATATAATGTTTTATTAGAGTTAGATTCGGAAACAGAATTGGTTAAAGATTGTATGATTAAATGGGCTCAGAATATACAGGAGCCGATCTCATTGGATTTATGGGAGATAATTTGGATAAGAAATGTTAAATTTACACAAGCTCAAAATTTGAGAGAAAATTTTTATAAAATGTTTTATAGATGGCATTTAGATCCTAAAAAATTATCTTGTATGTATTCCAACATACAGCCCAAATGTTGGAGATGTGGCAATAATGATGCGACATACTTTCATATTTGGTGGAATTGTAAAAAAGTAAAGGCTTTTTGGATTATGATTTGGTGGAACATTCAAAAGATTTTTAGAAAGAAGATAAAGTTTACTCCTCAACTATTTTTACTTGGTATTTTTGTTGACTTAAATGAAAAAGAAACTACTTTGATGTTGAATTTATTAACTGCAGCAAGGTTACTAGTAGGTCTATATTGGAAGAAAGATTCTTTGCCTACTTTAGAAGAATGGATATTTAAAGTATCTAGTTTTGCAGAAATGGCAAAAATTTCTGCTTATTTAAAGGATCATACACAAGAAAGATATATTACTGTATGGGGAAGGTGGATAGATTATATTCAGAAAAAATATGGAATTAAAAAGTTTTATTTATTTTATGAATGAATATCAAATATTATAGAGAATTGTTTTATAAGTTATGGAGTTAAAGGTTAATTATGATATTTTTTTTCTTTCTCTTTTTTTTTCTTTTTTTTAATTATTATAATTTTCTTTTTCTTTTTTTTTCTTAACCCTGTATTCTGCTCTGGGAAGTGAAGGGAGGGGGGGTGGGGGTGGGAGGGAGGGTAAGGGGGGGTTCTCTATTTTAAAATTTTATTGTATTTTTATAAATGATTGTATGTTTTAAAAAATAAAAATTTTCAATAAAAAAAAAAGAGAACTATACAAAGAAAGAGTCAATGTAACCATCTGGGGCATGGACTTTTCTCCTTTCTTTGACTGGAAGATTTGAAAATTTAAGTTGGACTCTATGAGTTGAAATCTATCAAGTGTAATCCTTAAGTAGGAGGACATAGTTTATATATGAACATTGAGAATAAGAGGCTGATGCCTGGAATGGATGTTCATCACCCAGATAGAATTATTCCATGCACTGCCAGTCTGTAGAATATTTGCAATTCCTGGCCTTTGGCCATCCAAACCAGAATTGCTATTACTCCATGATATATGGAGGAATCTAAGGATTCATCCCAAGCCTCTTCTTCATGAGTTGACCTAGAACAGCTTGTCTGGAGACCAAGGGAATAGAATCTACCATTATCCGAAGCTCTAACTATACTACATTCCACAAAAAATAGTTTGCTTTGAAAATAGTTTTTGAGTCTTAACTGTGCTCACCTTTAATCATATCAAACCTCTCTTCCACCATCTCTTTGAAGCCAGCCATGTGCAGAAGATAGAATGCACAAGACTCTTCCAGCATAGAATCAGTCAAAAGGGTGCCAGAGTTTCTCTTGTGGTGGTTCCACCAGCCAGAGACAGAAGTTAAAGGTGCAAGTGGTTTGCATGAAGGAACCGATGCTTTGGGCCTCTGGGGATTTAAGAGCAATGGGGTTGACCCCAAGAGGAGATCCTTTTCCTTCAAGAAGATGAACGTATCAAATCTCCCCCGAATAAGCATCATGTTCTTTCTATCCATATTCCTTGCCACCATTGGTGAGCTACCTTGAGTTGGTGGAAAAGAGAAGCTGTGTCTTCTCCAAAATGGTGGCCAAGGTTTCTTCATAATCCCTTAAATAAGCGTTTCTTTGCTGTGTTTCCTTGCAGATCTCAGCCTTCAGCAGCTGCAAAGCCTGAAAGATGCAGAATCGGTGCCTCTTGGTGGGACGGTCACCCTATCTTGCAGATACTCTACTGAAATCATCAATGACAACAATTACCCTTGGTGGGCCCAGCAACATCCAGGCAAACCACCCTAGCTCTTGGTTTACCAGACCAGTGTCAAACCTTCTGATGTTCCAGCCCGCTTCTCTGGGTCCAAGTCAGGGAATGTGATGTCGCTAACCATAACAGAAGCCTTGGCAGAAGATGAAGCCATCTACTATTGTTGCGTACACACAGGGAGTGCATAGGACAGTCATTCAGTGCAATGGGGAAGGATGACAAAAACTCTCTCTTTCTTTGCTCTCTTCAGGCATCATTACCAGTTGGTTGGTCTCTTGAGCTTCTTGTTCATAATGCAGTCAATCTGCAGATGAAAGGACCAGAAAAGTTGTAATGAAAGTACTATTTTGGAACAGATATAGGCATTCAAATGCATGGAGAAATTACTAATTTGGATTCAATTCAAATTTGAACATAATTCTTCTCCATCTTTTTCTCCTTTCTTCACTCTCTCCCTTCTCCCTCCTTCTCTCTCCTGCCTCATCTCCCTCCCTCCCTCCCTCCCTCTTCTTTTGGTTACAGGTTTGGAATCCCAGTTGATATTAACTAAACCATCCACCCTGTCTGCATCTCCAGAATCAATGGTTAGAATCCCTTGCACAATGAGCAGTGGCAACACCATTACTAGTGCAAGAGCTGGATGGTTCCAGCAGAAACCAGGTAGTGTTCCATGGTTTCTGTATCACTATTATACCAGCACTGATCAAGGCAGAGGAACTGTGGATCCCAAGCAGATTCAGTGTTTCCTCTGATCACTCCCAGAACCTCTGGAATCTAGTGATCACTGGCATTCAAGTGGAACACGAGGCAGATTATTACTGCAGCACATGGAACAACAAACTTGATATGCACATGGCAGTGCAGTTCTAGGAGGAACTGATACAAAAACAGGACGCTTGGTTGCCCAAGGCATCTATCAGCAGGGGAAGATGATGAAGAATCACCAAACACTGAACACAGAAGTTTTGAGTTCTCCATCACTGGATGTTTTGAAGAGATTGGACAACTATTTGTCTGACATGATATAGGGTTTCCTGCTTGAGCAAGGGGTTGGACTAGAAGACCTTCCAACTCTGTTATTCTGTTAATTCAACTTTGATTTCTATTCATATCAGTAGACTCAATCAATCAACACACACTCACAAACACACACATGCATTCTGGGAGGATGATGAGGGAGAACGTTATGTTGACAGTAGTATAGTATATTAATGTACATCCTAATAATCAAAGGAATAGCTTACCTCCTAGAGTTATGGGTACTCCATAATAGATTGGACAGCCATTTGACTGGGAGGGTATAAAGTCTCCTGCCTTGAGCAGAGGGTTGGACTAGAAGACTTCCAAGGTTTCTTCCAGCCCTATGATTCTATGATTCTGATTACTGTCTTTCCCAGCACCAAAAATTATCTTGAGGCTATATGTCAGGGATGAAACTTTGGCAGCTTCATACTTCTGTGCTCCAACTTGCCTTTAGATGAAGGGGGGGAGGGGATGTTACTTTCAAATGGGTAGATGGAGAAACAAAGCTTCTTTGATTCAGCTGCAGACTGAAAGAGCTTGAAGCCTTGTCAAGGACACCAGAACAGGTGTGGATTTGAAGCAGACGGTTCCCATAACAAAGTGGACTTGTTGATATGGATTATGTAAGACATTGGGGGTTTGGCTGGGAGAACTATTTTTTAAGTCTATGAATTGGTGTTAGAGCCTCAGAGTTAGTTTTTCTTTGACAGAACCAAGCTGTGTAGTCAATAAACAGTAATGTTTTTTGGAAATGAACCAGGAGTTTTATTTGGAATCTCAAGCTGGGTGTTGACACTATAGTGATAGGACCAGTAGAGGTCAGGATTGCCATACTTTCTAAACTTAGTCTGTCACTTTCGTCTGCAGAAGAGTTTAGGTTTCAGATGCTGGGTATTCCGGCTGACAGTTGCAATAAGACAATGACACATTTCCTTGCTAAATAACCCCAATCTCTATTTGAAGTGTAATAGCAAGGCTGGTTTACATCACAGAACATTGCTCAGAAGGAGAAGCACAGGAGAAAATCAACTAGACTCAGAAGAATACATTACTACTGATTCATATTCCAGCACTTTTTGATGGAGAGGAAAACATGGCATGTGTTCAAGGATGATCTTTTTCAAGCTATTTCCTTTCTGAGGAGCAAGTTTCAGAAACTGTGTAAAATGCAAAACACAATAGAATGTCATGGGAAAGAATTGCAATCCTTCAATTGCAGCTCAAAGGCTGCTTTTAATGCTGGTTTATTTTACTAACTACAAAGCCATTTTGATGGTCTCTATTTTCGTAATAATTGAAAGCAGTGAAATAGGGTGAATGAGAATCATGGTTGAAGACAACTCAACGATCTTAGTGATGGAGTTGGGATTTTGTTCTAGGATTCTCCAGTTCCTGCTCTGAACTCTTATTTCACCAGTGTGCCTCTTTGTCACCAAGTTCACAAACATCATCTCTTGATCAACAAGGTGTAGAGATGAGCACTATTTAAACAGAACCTGATTTGCATGCTGGTTGCATTCCTCATCTCTAGAGGTTTAAGAGAGACCTTACAGAAGACATGTAGTGATCTTTAGATTCGGGAAGATCTCACCACCCACCATGGCTTGGATTCTTCTGCTCTTCACCATCTTGTCCTCCTTTGGTGAGACAAGAGAATCAGGGGAATGAAGAGATAACTCTTTTAGTGATTTTTCATAGGAAGCATAGTGCAAGCGAATGTTGATTGTCATGCTATTATATACCACAGTGTAGAACTGTTGCTATTATTATTTTTTTTTTTTAAAAAAAAAAAACATATTCTCTTTCAGGGACCAGTGTCCAGCAGCTGCAAAGCCTGAAGAATTCAGAATCTGTCGCTGTACATGGCACAGTCACCATGTCCTGTAGCTATAGTGGTGGAACTATATCAAACAACAATTACCTTCGATGGCTCCAGCAGAAGCCCGGGAAAGTTCTAAAGCTCTTAGTTGCTACCAGCAACAGCAGGCCAACTGGTGTCCCAGCCCGCTTCACTGGGACCACCTCCAGGAACACCATGTCCCTGACCATTGCAGGAATTTTGGGTGAAGATGAGGCTACTTATTACTGTGCTGTCTGGACTGGGAGCGGGTACACAGCGCTTGATTCAAATAGAGAAGTGAAATAAAAACTCTCTTACTAGACTGGGCTGTCCCAATGTACAGGAGATCTTAAACAAACTTCTTGAGTGAAGGCTTTCTGGATAGCGATTGCATGTTTTCAAGGGCTGTGATGGAATGTAGTCTGGATTCCCAGGGAGGAGGGGCTTCATTCCAGAGGACCAAGAGACAGCAAAGTTTAGATGGTTGGTAGAAAGAGGGTCAAGATAGTTCTTCCTTAAAAGTTCTTTAATGATTCAAGAAGTTGCCTTAGTTTGGCAAGATTTCTATCTATAGGTGAGGAACAATGAAGAGAAGTGCTGTGAAATGTTTCAGTGTGCCTTTTCTTAGTTCTGGGGTCTCATATGTGCCAAGAAGTCACAGCATTCATCAAAACTATTACAAAAATATCTGGCTATCAATTTTCCAAGTTTTTTTTAAAGAAGAAAAGTAGTTTAACACTCCAATATCTATTATTTCTTTGTGTCATTATGGCAATGGTGTTTTGTCAGAATTTGTAAATCCCGTTCAACCTGAAGCTAATTGTGTGAATCAATGAGATGGGAGAGGAAACATTATTCTAATCTTCTTTCCGCCCCCATAAATTATATATCACGCATATTTCTAGTGCTGAGTTTGAAACAGAGAAATACTACAGGCAAACCATTCTTTTAAAAGCGCTTTGTTCCTTCTCTTTTGCCTTCCCACTTCATTCTATCAGTTAAACTAGTCAACAGACCTAATAGAGCTTCAGTTCACAAACACTTATAATATTTAATAAAGTATCTTAGTTGGAAATATCTATGTAGGAAATGACCAGGCTGAACCTGAGGGAGGCGTCAAGCATGTCATTAGTTTGGAGTCCGTTCATGCCCACAACAGTCTAGCCCACCTTGAATTCCGTTATCTACAACCAATTTGCCTTGACCATTAGTAGTTCAGCTTCCTATAGAGAACATAAGCTTGCAATAAACCTTTATATTCATTTGAACTGCCCGGATGTCCTGATTTTCCCTTGCTTAACATTAGGCAATCAAATCTCCTTCAAATTTTGGAAAAACCCCTAGGAGCATCATGGATCCAGCTTCTCCTTGGAATGAGCATCTATGGACTCCAAGTCTTATGAATCCCTGTAGTCTCTAGATTGATTTTTTGACAATGCTAGAAGACTCCCTCCCTCTGCTGAACGCAGTGTGTTTACTGAAGATATCAATATAACAATTAAGATATAATTAATAACATCTCTGAAACAAAAGGTTCTAATCTCACCGAACCTTGAGTAACAATACAGCAGCACCATCGTGTGGCAAATGGCTTTTTTTTTAAAAAAAAATCAAGTTGTCATTTGTTGAACATGGCTCACTCACCCCACACAGCACTCATTTTATTTAGCAATAGAATCAAGATCACATGAAGTATTAATACCACTTTACAATGCCTTGGTAAGGCCACGCTTGGAATACTGCATCCAATTTTGGTCACCACAATGTAAAAAAGATGTTGGGACTCTAGAAAGAGTGCAGAGAAGAGCAACAAAGATGGGAGTTTTTCCCAGTTTCTCCTGAATCAACCAGCCTCTGTGTCTGGATCTCCTACAGAGACAATTGATATCTCTTATACTAAAAGCAGTGGAACGATTGGATCAGGATATTCTTCCTGGTATCAACAGAAGCCTGGCAGTGCCCCCAAACTCCTTATATATGCCGATAGCAGCAGAGCCTCTGGAAATCCAGCATGATTCTCCAGTTCTGTTGAAAACTCTAGAAAATCTGCAGTGTTAAGCATCTCCAGTCTTGAGGCAGAAGATGAGGGTGACTATTATTGCCTGGATTATTTGGGTGGTGGCTAGTGCACAATGATACAATCCTGCCGAAGAGCTGAACAAAAACCCTTGCAGGAGGTGATGAGCACCAATGGTCCATTTGGAGACAATAGCCATATTATCCATCTTCATCCCACATTTCAACTATGACCTGTTCTTCTTCTCCTCCTGTTCTTCTCTGCCTACTGCACTGGTGTTGGTCCACTTTAGGTTTTCTAACATCAAGCCTTTTGATTTGGAACACCCACATTTTGGTTCTTATTCTTCAATTTTGATCAGAGAAGCTTCTTTGGAGTCCTTCACTCTTCCCTTTCACATCTAACTTTTCTCTCTCCTTTGAAATTACACCATTTTGGCTGAAATTTCTCTTTTCTCTTTTCTTCCTTTCAGATCTTCCTTTCACATTGGCCTAGTGGACAATCATTTAAATATGAGCCAGTCGTGTGCTGCAGCTGCCAAAAAACCCAACACAGTGCTAGGCTGCATTAACAGAGGGATAGAATCAAGATCACATGAGGTATTAATACCACTTTACAATGCCCTGGTAAGGCCACACTTGGAATACTGCATCTAGTTTTGGTCATCATAATGTAAAAAAGATGTTGAGACTCTAGAAAGAGTACAGAGAAGAGCAACAAAGATGATTAGGGGACTGGAGGCTAAAACATATAAGAAACGGTTGCTAGAATTGGGTATGTCTAGTTTAACGAAGAGAAAGACGAGGGCGGACATAATAGCAGTGTTCCAATATCTCAGCGGCTGCCCCAGAGAAGAGGGAGTCAAGCTATTTTCCAAAGTGCCTGAAGGCAGGACAAGAAGCAACGGATGGAAACTAACCAATGAGAGAAGCAACCTAGAACTAAGGAGAAACTTCCTGATCGTTAGAACAGTTAACCAGTGGAACAACCTGCCTCCAGAAGCGGTGAATGCTCCAACACTGGAAGTTTTTAAGAAGAGACTGGACAGCAATTTGTCCGAAATGGTATAGGGTTTCCTGCCTGAGCGGGGGTTGGACTAGATGACCTCCAAGGTCCATTCCAACTTATCATCATCATCATCATCACTATTATTATTATTATTATTATTATTATTATTATTATTATATCTCAGGGGCTGCCACAAGAAGAGGGAGTCAAGCTATTCTGCAAACCACCTGAAGGCAGGAGAAGAAGCAACAGATGGAAACTCATCAAGGAGAGAAGCAACCTAGAACTAAGAAGGAATTTTCTGACAGTTAGAACAATTAACCAGTGGAACAACCTGCCTGCAGAACATGTGACTGCTCCAACACTGGAAGTTTTTAAGAAGAAACTGGACAGCCATTTGTCCAAAATGGTATAGGGTTTCCTGCCTGAGCAGGAGGTTGGACTAGATGACTTCTAAGGTCCCTTCCAACTTTATCATCATCATCATCATTATTATTATTATCATCATCATCATCATCATCATCATCATCATCATCTTTTGGTCCAGGTTGTCCTTAATCATTCCCTTTCTCTTTCAGCATCCTGTAGAGAAATCCTGCATCCTCAGGATTTGTTAAGCGGACACATTGGAGATTAATGCACCTCCTGGGATCACCGGTGCCGTCAAACCTCTGATATATGAGCAGAATAAAAGAGCCTTCAAAATCTCAGCTCAGTTCTCTGTCAACTGTTCTTCCAACTTTGCCTCCTTGATCATCAGCAATCTCTCTTGCATTGGCTACAACAGGATGTTCTTCTGCTGCTTTTGTTCGTCTTAAACGTCGGGTTATTATTTTTCTTCAATTTTATGGTTTTCTAGAGCATAACTATGTTCCCCTTACCCTTCCTCCTTCTCACCCACCTGTGGATGTTTGATGGTATTAGATATTCTCCAAGACACCTGAAGGCAGGAGAAGAAGCAACAGATGGAAACTCATCAAGGAGAGAAGCAACCTAGAACTAAGGAGGAATTTTCTGACAGTTAGAACAGTTAACCAGTGGAACAACCTGCCTCTAGAACATGTGACTGCTCCAACACTGGAAGTTTTTAAGAAGAAACTGGACAGCCATTTGTCCAAAATGGTATAGGGTTTCCTGCCTGAGCAGGGGGTTGGACTAGATGACCTCTAAGGTCCCTTCCAACTTTATCATCATTATTATTATTATCTTTTGGTCCAGGTTGTCCTTAATCATTCCCTTTCTCTTTCAGCATCCTGCAGAGAAATCCTGCATCCTCAGGATTTGTTAAGCGGACATATTGGAGATTAATGCACCTCCTGGGATCACCGGTGCCGTCAAACCTCTGATATATGAGCAGAATAAAAGCGCCTTCAAAATCTCAGCTCAGTTCTCTGTCAACTGTTCTTCCAGCTTTGCCTCCTTGATCATCAGCAATCTCTCTTGCATTGGCTACAACAGGATGTTCTTCTGCTGCTTTTGTTCGTCTTCAGTGTTGGGTTATTATTTTTCTTCAATTCTATGGTTTTCTAGAGCATAACTATGTTCCCCTTACCCTTCCTCCTTCTCACCCACCTCCTTTGCAGACATGAAAAAAATGGGGGTAAAGTTGTCATTTTCATTTCATATAGATGACCATGATTCTTCTTTACCTTGGCACCAGCCTTGCCTAACATCAAAACATATCTTGACGCTACATAATCTTGACAGTGGAGGTCAGGACTGTCATATTTTCTAAACTTAGTCTGATATAGCATAGATAGAATAACAGAGTTGGAAGGGACCTCGCAGGTCATCTAGTCCAACCCCCTGCCTAAGCAGGAGACCTTACACCATTTGTGACATATGGCAGTCCAGTCTCTCCTTGAAAGCCTCCAGTGATGAAGCTCCCATAACTTCTGAAGGGAAGCTGCTCCATTGGTCGATTGTTCTCACTGTCAGGAAATTTCTCCTTATTTCCAGGTTGAATCTCTCCTTGATCAGTTTCCATCCGTTATTCCTTGTCTGGCCTTCAGGTGCTTTGGAAAATAGGTTGACCCCCTCCTCTCTGTGACAGCCCCACAAATATTGGAAGACTGCTATCATGTCCCCCCTTGTCCTTCTCTCCATTAAACTAGACATACCCAATGCCTGCAACCGTTCTTCATATGTTTTAGCCCCCAGTCCCCTGATCAACTTTGTTGCCCTTTTCTGAACTCTTTCTAATCCATTTTAGTCCAAAGAAGAGTTTAAGGACTCTGGGTATTCAGGCTGACAGCAGCAATGAAAAAACATTTCCCTCCCACTAGATCAGGCTGGTCGTATCCCTACGTTGGTCTAATCACATGGGTGGTTTATACCAGCGGTGTCAAACTCAATTTCATTGAGGGCCGCATCAGCATTGCGGTTGCCCTCAGGGGGCCGGGTGGGTGTGGCCAGGGTGGGTGCGGCCTACTGGGTGGGTGTGGATGGAGTTGGGTGTGGCCTACTGGGTGGGTGTTGCCAGCTCTACATTGTTTGTGTCAAGGGGGCCTGTGGGGGCCTGGGTAGGAGTGGGACAGATCTGAGGGTCTCCGGCAGAAGGGGGTGGGACCAGGGCAAGGGACAAGGCATGGTCCTCTGGAGGACCCTCACTGTTCCTCTCAGACCATGCGGGGGAGGGCTTATGGAGCTAATGCTGAATGCGTTTCAGCATAGATCGCCACCACAAAATTGTACATTGGCTCCCTTATATCTGAGGAAGAATTGATGAGCAGGCAGGACATTTGCATGAATTTGAATTCTCCACTGGCAATAGGCTTAAGAGCAGAGAGGACAGCTGGCTCTGCAGACAATTCAGTCCTGATCCCATCTTCCACCATGGCTTGGCTGCCTCTTCTTCTCATCCTCTCCTCTTCCTTTATGGGTAATTGAAGATTTGGGCTATCTACTAAAATTGGCTGGGACATACACTCTTGCCCCATCCCCTTATAATTCAGGGAAGTGGTTTCTCCTCTACTTCTTTGATTTCAGATTTCTGTTAATACCACACATTTCTCCTAAGTTCAATGAACATCGTGTTGACTGAGACTTTCCTGTCACCTTTGCTTTTTTTCAGGGAGTTTTTCCCAGTTTGTCCTGAATCAACCAGCCTCTGTGTCTGGATCTCTTAGAGAGACAGTCCAAATCTCTTGTAAAAAAAGCAGTGGAACAATTGGATCAGGATATTCCTCCTGGTATCAACAGAAGCCTGGCGATCCCCCCAAACTCCTTATATATGACGATAGCAGCAGAGCCTCTGGAATCCCAGCACGATTCTCCGGTTCTGTTGAAAACTCTAGAACATCTGCCATGTTAAGCATATCCAGTCTTGAGGCAGAAGATGAGGCTATCTATTATTGTGCCTCTTATACAGGCAGTGGCTCGTACACAGTGCTACAATTCCACTGAAGAGCTGAACAAAAACCTTTCAGGAGGCAATCACCGATGTGCATGACTGGGCAATGTGTGACATCTTCTTCTTGGTTCCGCTTAACCTTCTCAAACTGTAAGGTGCTTCCTTCTTGGTGTCATACCTACTTAGACTCCCAGGGATGTGATAGTGTCTGAACTGGAGAAGGTTATTATTATTGGTCTGGGACTTCATGGTGGGGGGAATGAAGAGGATCAGTTGAATGATGGATTATGAATTGTTGAACATAAAGAGTCACCCAGAACACTTCTGATAATTGTTGTTTGGAGACAACAATCATATTGTTGATCTTTATCCCACATTCCAGCTACAACCGAACTATGTTTCCTCCTGACCTTCTCTGCCTATTGCAATACTGTTGGACAACGTTTCTAGCATCAACCCTTCTGATATGGAACACTCACGTTTTGGTTCTTCTTGACCAATTCTGATAAGAGAAGCTTCTTTGGACTCCCTCACTCTTCTCTTTCATGTCTAACTTTTCTCTCCCCTTTGAAATTATACCTCCTTGGATGAAGCTTTTCTTTTCTCTTTGCTTTCTTTCAGACCTTTTGGTCCAGCTTTTCCTTCATCACCCCCCTTCCCTTTCAGCATCCTACAGAGAAACAGTCAGGATTTGTTGTATGAAAATGAGTGGAAACACTGGAGAGTAATACAACTCCTGGGATCAACAGTGCCATCATCAGACTCATGAATAAAATAAGAGAGACCCTTTGAAGCCACAACTCAGTTCTCTGGCCCTCTCCATAGTTCTTCCAATTCTGTCTCCTTGAGCATCTTCAACCACTAGCAGATTGCCTACAACAGGAATCTCCTTTGTTGATGTTTGTTTGCCTTCAACACTGGATTTTTTTTTAACTCTGTGGTTTTCTAGATCATAACCATGTTCCGCTTCCTATTCTACTTTCTGATCCACCCCTTTTGAAGCATAAAAATAATTTTCAACATGCTATTTACGTTTGAGTAGGTCACTCTGCTTCTTTATTTTGACAAAGAGAATCTTGGCATCTGCTTTGCCCAACACCTATAAAACACTTTGAGGCTATGGTGACATAACCAATAGAGGTCAGGATTGCCGTGTTTTCTAAACTAAGTCTGAAATTTTAGTCCACAAAGTTCTACCTTAAGCATTTTTGTTATTTATGTTGTCAGTAGCAATGAGAAAACGTGCATTATTTCCTTTCTCACAGAACACAAGTGGCAGAAACTGGATAAAAATCAAAATGTAACAGAATGCATGGGAAAGAGTATGAATGTTATTCAATTAAAAGAAATAAGTAAATGTTTAAATAAAAGTTTGGGGACACCATATATTCCTGAATTGGATCATACAATTCTGGGGAGTATTTTTTTATGCTGATATAGTCTGTTTTCTACTATATCTTGATTTTCTCTGTTCTCACATTAATTTTATGTTGTGAAGTAAGCTGAATGAGGATTACAGCTGAAGACAACTCAGATTTTAATGGCGGAGTTGGGATTTCATCCTAGGATTCTGTACTTCTCTAGTATAAACTCTTATTTGACCAGCTCACCTATTCAGCTCTAAGCTCTCAAATGTCATCTGTCCATCAAAATGGTGCAGGTTACACCTTTAGTTAACTGGGCAACCTATTTGGTAAAGACAGGCATCATCATCCTTTAAAAAAACCATCTCATTTGCATGCTAATTGTATTCCTCACCTCTAGAGATTTAAGAGAGGCCAGGTTGAACCCAATGACTGATTGATTCATTCAGGAAGATTGTCTAATTGTCCAGTATGGCTTGTATTCTTCTGCTCTTCACCATCCTGTCATCCTTTGGTGAGACCAACAGAATCAGGGGAAAGAAGGGTTAATTGTTGTGAGGGTCTCCATGTGGAATGCAGTGCAGGAGAATGTTGGGCGTGGTTTGGCTGTATAACGTAGTTTCACTTGATGTTCCTTAATTCCATGTTCTCTCTTATTCCCTTAATTCCATGTGCTCCTTCAGGGGCCAGTATCCAGCAGCTGCAGAGCTTGAAAGATCCAGATTTTGTAGCTCCAGCAGGGACAATCACCATGTCCTGTAGATACGATGGTGGAACCATCACTGACAACAACTACCCACGATGGATCCAGCAGAAGTCAGAGCAGGTTCCAAGGCTCTTAATACACAGCACCAGCAGCAGGCCATCAGGTGTTCCAGCCCGTTTCTCTGGCTCCAGGTCAGGGAACACCATGTCCCTGACCATCACAGGGGCCTTGGTGGAAGATGAGGCCACTTATTATTGTTTAGTTTGGATCGGGGACGGGTGCACAGTGCTTGATTCAGATAGAGAAATGAGACAAAAGCCCTTCAAAGGAAGTGAAACTCTTTCATGGGTTTGTTTTCCCTTCCAATAAAGAAGAGCTTCAGCCGATCAAGAAATGACATGATTGAATCTTCTCTTCTGTTTCTTAAACAGGAACATCTCTTTCTAAACTCCCCATCAAGTACTCAAGTGGGTCTTAGAGACAAGGAAAAAATGCCAGACATGGTTCATCCTGGTAAACCTGAAGTTAAACATGTAAGTAATAGTAATAGTAGTAAAGTTGGAAGGGACCTTGGAGGTCATCTAGTCCAACCCCCTGCTCAGGCAGGACACCCTACACCATTTCGGACAATGGCGTCCAGTCTCTTCTTCTTAAAAACTTCCAGTGTTTGAAGCATTTGCTTGCTTCTGGAGGCAGGGGCTGTTTTCACTGATTTATTGTTCTCACTGTCATGAAGTTCTCCTTTAGTTCTAGGTTGCTTCTCATCCTTGATAGTTTCCACCCGTTTTGCTTCTTGTCCTGCCTTCAGGTGCTTGGAAAATAAATCTTGATTCCCTCTTCTTTTATTGGCAGCCCCTGAGATATTGGAATACTGCTATCCATGTCCCCCCTTTTCCTTCTCTTCGTTAAACTAGACAATACCCAATTCTAGCAACTGTTCCTTATATGTTTTAGCCTCCAGTCCCCTAATATCTTGTTGCTCTTTTCTGTACTCTTTCTAGAGTCTCAACAATCTTTTTGTGACAGATCGTGGGTGACCAAAACTGGATGCAGATTCCAAGTGTGGCCTTACCAGGCTTGTAGGTGGCATGAATGACTTCACTTGATCTTGATTCTATCCCTCTGTTAATGCAGCCTAGCACTGTGTTGGCCTTTTTGGCAGCTGCAGCACACTGCTGGCTCATATTTAGGTGATTGTCTACTAGGACTCCAAGGTCCCTCTCACAGTTACTACTATTGAGCATGGTGCCACCTATGCTGTACTTGTGCATTTGGTTTTTCTTGCCTAAATGTAGAACCGTGCTTTTTTCACCATTGAATTTCATTTTGTTAGTTAGTGCCCAGTGTTCAAGTCTGTCCAGATCCTTCTGTATCTTAAGCCTGTCTTCTGGAGTGTTGGCTATTCCTGCCAGCTTGGTGTCGTTTGCAAATTTGATGAGTTCCCCATCTATCCCTTCATCCAAATCGTTGATGAAGATGTTGAAGAGCACTGGGCCCAGAACAGAGCCCTGGGGCACCCCACTACAATCTCAATAAAGTCTTTAGCCCAGGTTGATTGGTGTCCTTTTGCCAATTCAGATATTCTGTATATATCTAGAACTGGGATTCATCTGGGGAGAAATATTTCATTTGGTCTAATATTGATGAATGTCCTTTTATTCCCTCCCTTTGCTTCCCTGTCTTCACCCTCACTGAAATCCTACCTCAGTCAAGCTAGCAGAGGCATCTGATGAAGTGGGCTACAGCTCATAAATGTTTTGGCCTTTTAATATTATATGTTAGAACAATAATATAATTTAATATTACATTATGTGTTCTATATGGTAGAAAGGGTTACCAGAGACCTGATTTTGGAAAAAGACTCTAGGAAGTGGCACGGATCGAGTTTCCTTTTTATATTATGGTGGGACATCAGCTCCAATCTTAGTAGTCCATGTGGCCTCTGAACTGGATTTGTGTCTACCCTTGGAGATTCCCTCTCCAAGCACAACAACTTTTCAGGAAAACATGAACGTGTGACCTAACAGATATGGTTATCATTCCTAACATCCCTGCAATAGGTCATAATTTCCCAGAAAAGCTGAGAGGGATCTGTCTCAGGTTGAAGAAGAAAGGATGAAGGAGATAAAGTGAAGACAATTCTCATGCATGCTTTCTATGCTGCAGTTGAGCTGAAGACCTTCCCAAATGTTCCCGCTCAGCCAAACAGGATGGTCTCCTCAAAAAAGCTGTATCAGTAAATCATGATACTCAAAGAGAATAACAGAATAAGAAGGGACCTTGGAGGTCTTCTTGTCCAACCCCTTGCTCAGGCAGGAAGGAACCATCAAGGGAAGGTCTTTCTTTTTATCATAACTGAGGAAGAGTCAAGGAACAGGCAAATCATTTGCATGAATTTGAATTCCCCACTGGCAAAAGGCTTAAGAGTGGAGAGGACAGCTGGATCTGCAGACAATTCAGATCTGATCCCATCTCTAACCATGGCTCAGCTGCCTCTTCTCCTCCTCCTCTCCTTCTCCTTTAGGGGTAATTTATGTCAAGGGATTTCTACTCAAAAATTGCAATGATTATAGCCTTCCTCAACCTCCTGATAATTCAGAAGTCCATCTCCTAATTGCCTTTCATACCACACTTTTCTTCTGATTTAAATGAAGATTGTGCTGATAGAGTCTTTTTTTCATCTTTGTTTTCTTTCAGGGACTTTTTTGCAAGTCATGACTCAAACAGCCTCTGTGTCTGGATCTCTTGGAGGGACAATCCAAATTATTCGTACTATAAGCAGTGGAACAATTGACACAGGGGATTCCTCCTGGTATCAACAGAAATTTGGAAACGCTCCCAAAGTGATCATATATGAGGATAGCAGTAGAGCCTCTGGAATCCCAGAATGATTATCTGGTTCACTTGAAAACTCAGAAAAATCTGCAGTGTTGTTGTTGTAAATTGCGAAGTCGTGTCCGACCCGTCGCGACCCCATGGACAATGGTCCTCCAGGTCTTCCTGTCCTCTACCAGGTCTTCCTGTCCTCTGCAGTGTTAAGCATCTCCAATCTTGAGGTAGTGGATGAAGCTGATTATTATTGCACATATTATGTAGGTACTGGCAAGCACACGATGACACAATCCCACTGAAGAGCTGAACAAAAACCTTGCAGGAGGTGATGTCTGATATGCATGATTGGCAAATGTGTGACATATTTTTCTCTGTTCCTCTTAGCCTTCCCAAACTGTCAGGTGTTTCCTCACTCCTTTCACTCCGTTTTAGACTCTGGGGGAGGTGATAGTATTTGAGTTGCAGAATGATGCTGCAATTGGACTGGGATATTATGGTGGGTGGGTAGAATGGGGCCAGTTGACTTATGACTTCACACATTCAGAACGCTTCGCATAGTGCTCCATTTAGAGACAACAGCCATATTATACATCTTTACCCCGCTTTCCAACTTTGGACTGCTTACATCTCCTCTTGTTCTTATCAGCCTTCTAATCTGGACATCCATGTTTTGGTTCTTATTGATCATTTCTGTTCAGGGAAGCTCCTTTTGAATCCATCACTCTTCCCCTTTCAGAAATAACTTTTCTCTCCCCTTTGAAATTACACCTCCTTGGTGGAAACTGTTCTTTGTTCTTGGCTTTCTTTCAGGATTTTGGTTGTCTTCAATTAGCCCCCTCCTCATTCAGCATGCTTTGGAGAAACAGTGAGAATCCTTTGTTCCAAAAGGAGTAGAAAAAATTGAGACTAATACCACACCTTAGATCTACATACAAGCAAATTGAGAGACCCTTTAAAATCTCAGCCAATTTCTCTGGCTTTGTCAACAGTTCTTCCAATTTTGTCTCCTGGAGATCTCTAATCATTCTCACATTGCTTACAATAGACCCCCTTCCTTTGCTGGTTTTGTTTCTCTGCACCTTTAGATATTTTTTGATTCCATATTTTTCTAGATCATAACTATGCTCCCCTTCTCATTCCTCCTGCTCATCCACCATCTTTAAAGTCATGAAAAAGTGGGTGTAAGCATGCCGTTTCATTTGATCTCAGTCACCCCCCCCCATCCTACAGAGAAACAGTCAGGATTTGTTGTATGAAAATGAGTGGAAACACTGGAGATTAATACAACTTCTAGGATCAACAGTGCCATCATCAGACACATGAGCAAAATAAGAGAGACCCTTTGAAGCCACAATTCAGTTCTCTGGCCCTCTCCATAGTTCTTCCAACTCTGTCTCCTTGAGCATCTTCAACCACTCTCAGATTGCCTACAACAAGAATCTCCTTTGTTGATATTTGTTTGTCTAAATTTTGAATTTTTTTAACTCTATGGTTTTCTAGATCATAACCATATTCCTCTTCCTATTCTTCTTTCTGATCCACACCCTTTTGAGGGATAAAAAATAAATTTCAACATGCTATTTACGTTTGAGTAGGTCACTCTGCTTCTTTATTTTGACAAAGAGAATCTTGGCATCTGCTTTGCCCAATAAAACACTTTGAGGCTATGGTGACATAACCAATAGAGGTCAGGATTGCCGTGTTTTCTAAACTAAGTCTGAAATTTTAGTCCACAAAGTTGTACCTTAAGGATGTTTGTTATTTATGTTGTTAGTAGCAATGAGAAAATGTGTTATTTCCCTTCTTAAAGATTACAAGTGGCAGAAACTGGATAAAAATCAAAAGGGAATGGAATGGAATGTGTCCTCAAAAGCTCCACCAGGAAATCCTACTGCTTGAAGAGAAGGAATCTTCAAAGGAAGCTCTTTCCTTTTATCTGAAGCTGGCTGTCATATCTGAGGACGAATTGCTGAGCAGGCAGGACATTTGCATGAATTTGAATTCTCCACTGGCAAAAGGCTTAAGAGCAGAGAGGACAGCTGGCTCTGCAGACAATTCAGTCCTGATCCCATCTTCCACCATGGCTTGGCTGCCTCTTCTTCTCATCCTCTCCTCTTCCTTTATGGGTAATTGAAGACTTGGGCTATCTACTAAAAATGGCTGGGACTTACACTCTTCCCCCATCCCCTTATAATTCAGGGAAGTGGTTTCTCCTCTACTTCTTTGATTTCAGATTTCTGTTCCTACCACACATTTCTCCTAAGGTCAATGGACAGAATGCTGACTGAGTCTTTCCTGTCACCTTTGCTTTTTTTCAGGGAGTTTTTCCCAGTTTGTCCTGAATCAACCAGCCTCTGTGTCTGGATCTCTTAGAGAGACAGTCCAAATCTCTTGTAAAAAAAGCAGTGGAACAATTGGATCAGGATATTCCTCCTGGTATCAACAGAAGTCTGGCGGTCCCCCCAAACTCCTTATATATGCCTCTGGAATCCCAGAACGATTCTCCGGTTCTGTTGAAAACTCTAGAACATCTGCCGTGTTAAGCATCTCCAACCTTCAGGCAGAAGATGAGGGTGACTATTTTTGCGGCTCTTATACAGGCAGTGGCTCGTACACAGTGCTACAATTCCACTGAAGAGCTGAACAAAAACCTTTCAGGAGGCAATCACCGATATGCATGACTGGGCAATGTGTGACATCTTCTTCTTGATTCCGCTTAACCTTCTCAAACTGTAAGGTGCTTCCTTGTTGGTACCATATCTACTTAAACTCTCAGGGATGTGATGGTGTCTGAACTAGAGAAGGTTATTATTATTGGTCTGGGACTTCATAGTGGGGGAAATGAAGGGGATCAGTTGAATGATGGATTATGAATCATTGAACATAAAGAGCCACCCAGAACACTTCTGATAATCATTGTTTGGAGACAACAATCATATTGTTGATCTTTATCCCACATTCCAGCTACAACCGGGCCATGTTTCCTCCTGACCTTCTCTGCCTATTGCAGTACTGTTGGACAACGTTTCTCGCATCAACCCTTCTGATCTGGAACACTCACATTTTGGTTCTTCTTAACCAATTCTGATAAGAGAAGCTTCTTTGGAATCCCTCACTCTTCTCTTTCATGTCTAACTTTTCTCTCACCTTTGAAATTATACCTCCTTGGATGAAGCTTTTCTTTTCTCTTTGCTTTCTTTCAGAC